TCTTTGAGTCATAATTATTAATGCTGGAGAGACTTTTCAGTCAGGCTTCCTTTAAAACTATGTCATGGTATCTGACTCAAACTCTGCATCAAGTCTGTAACTTCTCTGTACACAAGAGCATATCTTTCGGCCTTTTATTTTTAAGTACAATTTCGATTCAAAGTCCTCAAGTAACAGTGGATCACATCCACAATTATTCTGTGTTACCTACCTGCACTTTACTTCTGAAGTTTGTTGTTTTGTTCCAATTACTGGATTGGGAAACACTTCCTCTGTGAGACTTAAGAGGTATCAAATACTGGGGAAAAAAAGGAGAGAGAGAGATACTGCTAGACTGTCATGTTAAAAGGTTACCTCTAAACCTTCTCCTGAGTAAATAAAATAGATTGAGCTATTCAGCCTCTCATTTCAAGACATGACTCAAGACAGCACCCCAGTCCTGGTATCCCTAACAGTGTATAAATGGGGTTACATTCTTTGCCTAATCTTAAATCAGCATTCTCCACTACAAGGTCCCTATTCATCCCCTGAGCTTACGTGTGTCCTCATCAGACACTTGTACGCAGCCAGTTTCCACTGTTACCATATCCCACTATAACCTTTTATATGAAGTAGACATTCATAATTTCTATTATTTGTCATACTTTTATCATACAAGAGATTCCATCATAGATCAGGTATTTCCACCATTCTAGACGCAGAATAAAAAGATGGTCCTTAACTCAGAGATATCTTTGGATTGCTTCCCTCTTGCTCTTCCTCTCTAGCTTCTGAGCTGAACATATCTCACCAAGAACAAAGTATATGGAGAGGTAGATTAATCTGAACATTAAATACTACCCATAAAGGACACATTTGTGATTTTATCCACCATCCTTCAGGAGTGCTGAAATGCATTATATCAGCTCACTAGTAACAGAAGTTTAAGACATTTCTCAGAAATCCATCATGTTCTAAAATATGTATCTTCTGAAGTCTAGCGATATCCTATTTACTGATCTGGTCATTATTTACTGATTATATAGATTTATTATTAATATCAAATGCTAAATCCGGATCGTCTCAAAGGAGCATTGCTTCTGTAACAATCAAATAATGATGATATGATATTAAATGTATACATAGTACATATACATATGTAATTGATGACTGATTTTATATACATATATATACACACAGAGACACATTATATATAATGTGATATATGTGATATAATGATTGCAGCCCTTGTCCCAAACAGCTAATCAAATTACTGTCAGTAATATTTATCTGTATGGATTGTATGTAGCCTGGTCTGAAAAACAGTAATTGTAGTTATATTAAACATTAAACTTTTAGCAAAGTTCCTAATGGCAGATGGCAAATAAGACAATCTCCACCAGTACATATCCATCATCAGTGATAATATATAATACGTATAATACGTATGTGGGAGGGGAAAGCAGGTCCCACAGATATATAGTACCTAGACAGGACACCAGAAAAATCCCGCTTATTACTATAGAAACATGACTGAAAGCAGAAGTTGAAGCTCGTAGTGGTAGGTGTCATCTTTGCCAGCTATTTCACTGAATTCACTCGTAGTTTTGAGTGAATAAAGGAGAAAAGATGTACCACATTTGGAAATTTAAGGTGTAAGGTTACGGATGGAGCTGTCATCATCATTCTCTAATCATGCATCATTCTAACAACATTTTCTTTAAAAGCCAACAAATAAAATGAAGAGTGCTTGGCTTTATAAAACTCACTGGTCAAAAGGAAAGCAGTGAAATTGCTGAAGAAACACCGTATCAGCCTGCCTCCAAGACCTGGCAGAGGTGAGCCGTATCTGTTATCCACATTAATTTGCAAGAAAACAAGTAAGTACAGCAAGGCCCTGCCTTAGCTGCATAGGGAATACATGACTAAGCTCAAACACAGAAAGGAAGCATCTGGGAGGAGGAATGCAGAAGCACTGACCAGGCATGCAGAGATAGAATTAGAGCTACAACAAAGCTTGCATGTAGATAAAATTGGTGAAGATATAACGGGCAGCAAGGAAGACTTGCAGGTACATTTGCAGCAAAAGATGACCAAGTAAAACCTGGGTGTGCTGCTGAATAGGGCAAGTGACCTTCTGACAAAAGATGCAGCTACTCAATGACTTAGTCTTAGACAGGCAGTGTCTGTTTTCAGGCCTCCCAGATCTCCATGCCTAGTAGCAGCAGTCAAGTTAGGGATGCTTTAAATAAACTGGAATTATACAGATCTACTGGATTGTATAGAATGCATCTGACAGTACTGAGACTGCTGGCAGAAGTCATTGCAAGACCTCTCTCTATCGCTTGTGAAAGGTCACAGTGATCAGCGGAGGTTCCTGATGATTACAGAAATGTTGTACCTATTTTAGAAAACAGCAAGGAGGAGGATCTGAGCAGCTACAGACTGGTTAGCCTTACCTCTCTCCCTGGGAAAACTGTGGAGCAGGTATTCATGAAAACCATTTCGCCTCATATGATGACATGAATGCAACTGAGAACAGCCAGCTTATACTCACCAAGTGCAAATTGTGCTTAATCTAGCATAATTAAGTTACGGGTTCTATAGATGACAGGAGAGTAGTAGATGTTGTTTTCCTTGACTTTAGCAAGGCTTTGGACAGTCTCCCATAGTATCCTTGTAGCCAAAGTGAGGAAATATAGGCTGGATAGGTGGACTACATAGTGGGTGAAAAACTGACAAGATCATTTGGCTTAAAGGGTAGAGGACAACTGTTTGAAGTCCAACTGCCAATTGGTTACAAGTAGTGTTACCTGGCAACAATACTGGTGCCAATATCATGTAACGTCTTCATCTGTGACCTGCATGATGAGATCCTTCGCAAGTACAGGGATGACACCAAATGCAGGGGGTCTGCTGGTACACTGGAAAGTAAAGCTGCCATTCAGGAAGACCTCAACATGTTGAAAGAGCGGAACAACAGAGAAGTCTCTCTTGCAGTTCAAAAAAGACAAATACAAGGTCCTGCACCTTAGACAGAACATACGAGTGCAAGAGAACAGGCTGGGACTGACTAGCTGTTCTACAGGAGAGGAGCTGGGGGGGTCTCAGTGAACAACAAATTCAAAGTCAGCAGTGTGGCCTTGTTGCAACAATGACTTAGCACATCTTGGACTGCATTAGCAAGAGCATAGCTAGCAGGTCAAGGGAAATGACGATAAACATCCTTCCTTCCGAAACACAAGGGAGACAGACCAGAGTCAAGACCAGAAGTGTCACTAAGATGGCTAGGTGCTTTCAGTATGTGACATACAAAAAGAGCTTGAGGAACCTGAGAGCACCAAAATTCTCATCAGCTTTACTGGACTTTTACTACTAGAGCATTCTTGGTAGCATTCCTTGTGGTTACAGTCTGCAAACAGATGCATTTTGGTAGTCTCATACGAAAGACCTACAATGGTCATAGGCATATGTCAGAGCACATTAATGACACCTCTGCAATATCTGATGATGTGGCACGGCAAATTTTTAACTGGGTTCCCTAGAGACATTAAAAGATAGCCAAGAGTTGCTACTGTGTCTGTGCTGCAAGCAGAGACTCCCATGGAATTTCCGTATTTCTGTGCATGACAGACTTAGGCTTGCTCAGAGACCCTTGCACAGAGAAATGATTTGTACATCAAAGAAGAAACTGGCATCCTACCCATAAATGATTTTCCATTTATAGTTGCAAAGCCACTGCCAAAGAGGCCAAAACTAGTTTATAAAATATTTCTGCAGCTATAATTGTTTAGGACCACTGAACTGCATGTTCCAAGCCAGATCAAAAGGAGCACCACAAACCCATGAAAGGCTTATGTGTAAAGACAGGGTAAATTCCATGTCTGGGATCCATCTGTAATTCTGTCAAACCAAGAGTCCTTGTTGCTGTATACAAGTTAAATGTCTGTCTGCCAAAATTAAGTGAATGGAGAACAAATACCTCATTATCACTTTTTTTACAGTTTCTGCCTTATTTTCTTTAAATTCAAAATATCCTCCCCTTTTCCACTGTTGTCAAAATGTAAATCAAATTAGGAAGTATTTTGATACCAGGCATCTATCATGCTCTTTTTTAGGTTACCACTTTGTTTCAAACATAGCACAAAGGTGTGCTATATTCCTTTGAAGTATTAGAGCCGATATAGCTGAAAAAGTTGTAGCCTAAACTCCATAGGATTTGGAGGAAACTAAGTATTGTTTTCTTGAACAAGCTCAAAGCCACTATATACTGATTTACCGTACACTGGCAATACAAAGATGGATTTTATTTGTAATCCATTAAAGAAATTGCAAATGCAATTGGAATTAGAAGATGTGATGTTCTACATTTACAGACTAGTGATACATGCATGTTTTTTCATGCTTAGTCATGTAAAAAAACAGGAATAACTACTTGCAGTGTTAATTCCCTAAATAATTAGCATTTGTGCATATTAATGTTTAACGTCAGCTTTCTTCTTAGAAATATTTGCTATTTCAACAACCAGAAATCTCTTGAAAGTGAGAAAAACTTCCTCTCTGTCGAAAGTAATGCTCAAAATAGTCGATAACAGGGATTACAGCAAAAGGCGTATATAGCTGTATCCTTTAAGGTAAACCTGGAACATATATTCTCAGATCTTGAAATCTTCCTACTGTTTGTTTTCCTCTTTCAGCAGGAAAAAATATAACTGTAGCATGCATAGCCATTATGTGGAGAAACTTTCTAAAAAATGCATAATTGTGATTAGAGATAGCCAAAAGGGTAGATTTCTAATAAGCAAAAAACTTTGGCTTTTTTATTGCTTTATCTGTTACATCCAAATAATTGGCTTTCTTAAAAATAATTTCTGTAAACCAGGAGCTTTCCGAACCCTTCAGCTGCTCAGTAAACAGAACAGTTGAGTTGGGTTTCTCTGTGAATACCATGGAAGGTCTGTGGGAGAGAAAGCACCTTTTTATGACCAACTGATACAGCTTCAAAAAGCATGTTCGGGGACATGACGGGTTTGGTTAAAACTGTGCCTGACAACTTGACCTTTATATCAGTTGGTCTAACCTAATAAAAGATATTACCTCTCCCTAGAGGCCTTGCTTTGTTTATGGGCATGATGGGCTGATATTATAGCACTACTATGACCAGCAGGCAATGCCAACTGCCAGGCTTTCCCAGTGCCCGGAAGGGGGAGGAATGCCAGCGCTTCCAGGGATTGTCCAAAAATACGCTCACTTTAGGGATCCCGTCCACGTGCAGTATCTGTGCCTTCAGCTGCACTACTTTCGACAGCGGGACGAGAGCCGTTCCCTTGTGCAACCGGGACGCAGACGCAGTAAAGGGGAGAAGTGGGAGACACTGCTTCAGTTGCCTGTAAATGTTGTGTTATTACACAGCTACACAGAAGCCTTGCACATCTGCATGCCATTTCTCCAATTACATGCAGCTGGGTAGTAGCCTAAGTAGCTGCTGGAACAATTATTAAGATATTGCTATCCAGCAAACGCAGCAGTAATTAATTGCTAAGTCAGTGGCCTTCCACTTTTACTGGACTGGCCCGCGGCAAGATCCTCGGAATAACCTCACACTTTCTGCTCTCTGCTGAATTTTTTAACCCTTTTTTGTTCGCCACCTCCGGCTGAGGCCGGTGCCGGCGGGGCTGGCAGGGGCGAGGGCGAGGGCGAGGCGGCGGGGGGG